CCTCTTATTTCCAGGAGCCAGGCTGCGGCTAGCCCCAACAAGCATGTTGAGGATTCAACTGATTAGCCTTCCCCATCATGCCTGCGCACCTGAATTGGTGCTAGGGAGATCTTTTCTAGAGTTATTATCCAAGAGAAAGCCCGGTGAATGCAATATTGCTGGTCTTAATAATTTAGCATATATTTCCAGTTTCTTCTTTTCACTGCTGTTTTCCCCTTCTTTTCTGCTATGTTAATAGCTCTTTCATTAAAGAAAAACATTTAGAGATTCTTTTCTTATTATAAAATAATAGTAACAATTCTTTTTGCTTTTTTATTTTTTGCATTTGTACTGGGGCTTGAACTCAGGATCTGGGCTGTCCTTAGGTTTTTTTTTGCCCACTGCTGATGCCCTAACACTTGAACTACACCTCCAATTCTGCCTTTTTGCTAACTGGAGATAAAAGTCTCATAGACTTTTCTGCTCAAGCTGGGTTTGAACTGCGATCCTCAGATCTCAGCCTCCTGAATAGCTAGGATTACAGGTGTGAGCTGCTAATTCCAGGCTTAGCAATTCCTGATATTTCAGATTTCAAAGATAAGATCAAACATCCAAGGTAAAGAAGGAAGTTTAAAGAAAACCTATACCTTCCCTAGCCACCCACAGCGTTCATAAGTATTTGAATATCTAATGCCCATTTTTCTATATAATTTATAGAATAGGAACATATTATATATACTATTCATGATTATATATAACTGTGCTATTTGATATTTCCTACATCTTTTAATTTTTCAGTTTTACTTGGTAATGTATCAAACAGATACATCATTACTTAACTGTTCTCCTTTTTGGTTGATGGATGATTCCAATTCTCTCTGTCTCTCTGTCTCTGTCTCTCTCTGTGTGTCTTTGTCTCTCTGTGTGTCTGTCTCTGTCTCTCTATCTCTCTCTCTGTCTCTCTCTCCCCTCTGATGAGCTTCCTGTATCCTGATGGACATATTCAGGCATGCAGAGAAGGGATCAGTGACTCCAGAGGACAGAAAGGATGGACAGGAGACAGTGGGATTGGGGAACTAGTGGGAGGCATATGATCTTGGCAGAGGAAAAGGCTGACAGTTGCAGCTTGAACTAGGAACCGGAAGTACTTCCGGCCAGATGGAAGGCGTACTGTCCATCACTGGGCAGTGAGAGTCATGACCAGATGACCAGAGCCAAGTCCTAAAGGGTCCTAGAAGCCACTTTTCAGAGTGTGGGCTGTGGGCAAGGAAGAGCCAGTGAGGGTTAGAAGCAGGGCAATGTCATCCAGTGGTCTCTGTTTTATCTGTGGGTTTCCCTGCCCACTGTATTAATTACCTGTTGTTCATAACCCTGGTCCAAAAATAGCAAATGGAAAGTTCCAGAAAGAAATACTTCAGAGCTGGGCACCAGTGGCTCAAGCTTGTAATCCTAGCTATTTGGGAGGCTGAGATCTAAGGACTACAGTTCAGAGACAGGCTGGGCAGGAAAGTATGTAAGACTCTTATCTCCAAATAATCACCAACAAAAGCTGCACGTGGAGCTCGAGTGATAGAGGCTTGAACAAAAATGCACAGGGATAGTGCCCTGCCCTGAGTTCAAATCTTAGGACTGGCACCAAAAAAAAAGAAAAGAAAAATAACAATTCAGAAATTCTAAATCACTTTGGAAACAGTATTCTGTGTTATCATTACTTATTATTGTCAGTCTCTTGCTGGGCCTAAATTATGAATTACATCTTATAAATGTATACTTTTTTAGTATGCATATATAGAAACAAAAAAAACCCCATAGTATATATAGGAGTTAGTATTTGCCCTGGTTTCATTGGGGCTTGGATTATATTCCTCAATAGTGAGGATGATATATGCCAGCTCCAAGAATGGATCTATACATTCATTTATTCATTTATTTTGTTTTATTTACTTATTTAGCTGGCAGCAGGATTTTATCTCAGTGCCTTGTACCTACCTGCTTGCTCATGGATGGTGCTCTACCACTTAAGTCACACCTCTAGCTTAGCTTTTGGCTGGTCAATTGGAGATGGTATCTTGGAGACTTTTCTGCCCCAAAAGTCCTCAAACAGCTATTCTACAGATCTCACCCTCCTGAGATCTGTTAAGGTCTGTTAACTATCTGTTAAGATAGTTAAGACTAAAGGCACGAACCACTGGTGTCTGTCCTGGCATGTTTTTTGTTTGTTTGTATTTTAACCTCCCTGTGGCTAGAGTCAGCTAGAAGACTCCACATTTGTTTATTTGTTTCTGTGTATTTTTGTGTTGTTGGGGTCTCACACGTTCCAAGCCCACATCCCACCTCTGAGCTACACCTCAGCCCCAGAGCTGTTAATAACACAACAACACAGAAAATAAAAGGAAAAGAAGGAGAATAGAGCTCACAGGTTAGTTTTTTTTCTGTCTAGGTTCTTGGATTCAGGAGAGCAGTTCCACAAGCAAACTCTTAATTCCCTCTTTCTCCAGCCTTGGGGAGGTGACTTTGGTTTAAGTACCCTTGGCTTCTGGCCCCACCCCTCTTCCAGAGGCCCCCATTGGTGGTTCCCATTAGAAGGGGGTTTGAATTTTCTTTCAGTAGCTAGATGAGGCTGACGTGTTCACCCACGATGGTTGGATATGGTGCACACTGAGTGTGTAAATCAGCTCCTAAGCCACCAGGCTGTCCTGACAGGACACAGCAGATGAGCTCAGGATAGATCCCCGCTGAACTTCCCAGAGCTAGCATCTCCATGTAGGGAGCAGCTTCTGAAACTAATGGACAATGGCAGCTCCATTTGAAAAACAATGAAACACTTGACAGAGTCTGTGATCTGCCAGCCAGGCAAAGCTGCTCATTAGCAGAGAACCCATGCCCTTGTGCCCCCTACCATCTTGCCTCCTCCCAGCTCTGTCCCCTTGGCTCCCCACTTCCTACCACAACCAGGTCCCAATCTTACTCTGATGGATCACTGCACCTGTCTCTCACCTGACATCTGGGTGTCCTCCAGTTTGCTGTTCTTCTTCCCTCCTTCCTCCCCCCCCCCACCATCTCAGCTGTAGGGTGGCGGGCCTACCTGTGTCTTTGGCTCCAGCCAGTCCCTCAGAGTCTGGGGCCTGTCTCCTTCCTTCCTCTCAGCCCCCACATCTGGCCCATCAACAAATGTGGCTAACTCTACATGCAAAATATACCTTAATTCCAAGCAAATCTTTAAAAAAATATTTTTATTGTCTTTAAGTAGTTGTACAAAGGAGTTACCATTCACCAAAGCAGTTTATGATGTGTTACCCTTTCAACATTCTCACCCACGCTTTCCCCCTTCCCTCACTCTTCTTAATTTTAGGTTATGTATTGAGGGATTTTTTTGCCATTTAACAAAGCAATTTATGTGTACAATGCACCTTGATCTGTGTCATTACTTAAAAATCTTCACCACCATCCGTCCCTTCCCTTATATTTCTCAATTCTGTGGTATATACAATGAACTCTTGCCTGCATTCTCTGCCCCCACCCCACTTCCCTGCTTCATTCTTCCACCCCTCCCTGCTTGGCCCCAACCCTCTCCTCTTGAAAGTACCCATTCCCTGCTACATATTTTATTGGGCTTTGACTTAGTCTCTTTAAAAGAATTACACAGCCAAGAACCAGTGGCTCATGCCTGTAATCCTAGCTACTCAGGAGGCTGAGATCTGAGGGTCATGGTTCAAAGCCATCCCAGATAAGGAAAGTCTGTGAGACTCTTATCTCCAATGAACCACTCAGAAAACCAGAAGTGGCTCTGTGGCTCAAGTGGTAGAGTGCTTGCCTTGAGGTGAAGAGCTGAAGGAGAGCACCCAGGCCCAGAGCTCAAACCCCACAGCCAACAAAAAATAAAGAGAAAGAAAAGAAAGAAAAAGAAAATGGGAATGATAGTTCCTCACTTCGTAGGGTCTCCAGGAGGATTCAAGAGCATCTTGCAAGTAAATGGCTTTGTCAGGTGCCTGGATATAGCAAATGCACAGAGGACTAGCTGTCATTACTACGGCGGTGGGTGCCTCTGTTGTGTTACTGGGCTGTCGCTAGCACCCATAGGTGCTTTTGTGCAAATGACTTCCCTGGCTTAGTGATGTGTTAGATGATGGGAAATCAGCATGCACGTGCATGTGCACCTGCATGCCAACACATGGGTAAGAACTCTGCTTCTGAGCGGTGCCTTTTCAAGTGGAGGGACCAGCAGAGTGGGTGACAGAGGGTTGTGGTCTCCTCTCCCCAGCCTAATGGCCTCACCAAGGTTCTGGTTGTCACTTCCTTCTGCGCTGTTTTGTCCTACTTGGAGAAAAGATGACTGAGTTCCTCTCCTTGTAACTGAGGGCCAATGACCGGGTTGAGCAGGGCCTGTGGTGCCCAGGGGCAGCAGGCACCATGCCCAATCTCAGGGTTGAGATCTGCCTCTACTGACAGGAGTTTAAGCTGAAACATCTATTGTTCCTGACCAAGAGTCAAAGGATGGCACTGTCAGGAATCTGCTCCAAATAAATATTGGGATCTCCCAGGTGATGTATATAAATGGGTCATCAGTTTACATCTTACACCACAGGAAGCATTTCAGGTACCTTAATCCTACATTTTCCAACAGATGAGCTCGGCCGACTCTTTGAGATGGGGTAGTGGGGGCAGGAGGGGGGAGGGGGGACATGCCACTTGTCACGAGCCCTGTCATCTCATGCTTTGGCCATCCATTTCTGGAACCACCCAGAAGGAAACCAGAGCTGACTCATGAACTACAACCCAGGAAAGCTCTGGGAAGTCAGGGTCATGGACCGGAGGTCATGAGATTTTGGCATTTCCTGTTGCTCTCATTTCGAATCACTGCAACAATCTCCCTGCGTTTCTGAAAGGGAAGGGATTGGAGAAAAAGCCACACCCAGTTTTATTTGGTTCTGTTTTGTTTGGATTTGGGTTTTGTTTGGGGGTTTTCTTTTTTCTTTTTTTTTTTTCCACCCACCACAAGCTCTTTTCTTCCCCTCTCATAGTGTGGGCGAAATGCTGAAAACTTCGACCGATTTTTCACCCGCCATCCACCCGTCCTAACACCTCCTGACCAGGAAGTCATCAGGAATATTGACCAATCAGAATTCGAAGGATTTTCCTTTGTTAACTCTGAATTTTTAAAACCTGAAGTCAAGAGCTAAGTAGATGTATAGACCTCCGTCCTTCATTTCCTGTCATGCAAGCTCAAATGGCTATTGTGGTGACCTTTATTTTGTTTCTGTTTGTTCGTTTTATTTCGTTTTGTTGGTTTCATTACCAGATCACATCCATATTTTGTTTTCTGATGAGACCGGAGTGACCAATGTTTCAGAACCCAAATGTCTTTCAGGTAGTTTGGAGCATCTCTACGAGATGGAATTATGCAAATGGCCAGTAGAAAATGTCAGCTGCATAATCGAGGACCACCCTCCCCCCCCCCCCCACAGCATGTCAGCTCTGCGGACCCAGTGGGAAGAGGAAAATGCTTGCTTTCCCTCCCTCATGTCTGCACTGCCCTCCTCACCCCTACCATCCCATCCAGATCCATCCTTACAGGATAAGAGCGATGAATCGGATGCTTTCAGTACCCTTCTGCTTCTAAGCTTGGAGTTTGGGCTGGGTCCAAGTCTATGGTTCTTTGCCCTGAAGGGAATTCCTCCACACTGTCTGTTCTGGAGCTTTGAAAAGAACATGCTAAAAATATTTTTTCCCCTTCTTTTTCAACTCGAACTGACAAAGCTTATCTAAGTCCTTCGAAAAAATTCAAGAGGGTGCTTTCTGGACAGTTCCAAATTAAAAGCGCTATCATGGGTCAAAGAAAAAAAAAACAGCTTGGGCATACATTCCATGCTATTATTCCTGATAATTTATGACACCGATCTCCTTGTCCCTAAACTACAGGGAAAGAGCATTTGGTACTCTTCCTCTGAAGCAAATTGGTCACTCTAGCAAGGTCCTAACGGGCTATTGTTTTACATTTACTCATTTCAAACTTTATTTGCTTTGGGATTATTCTTTTTGTTGTTGCTCAAATGCCAAAAAAAAAAAGTTACTCGGTTTGTTACACATGCTTAAAAAAATCAATGTCCAAATGTTATTAACCACAGTAACCTGCTTTGATTCCCTCTCCCCTTCCCCTACCCCCAAGAAGATGGCCGTAGGGGCCAGCACACTCAGGCTGCGGGAAAGGGGGCTTTCTCTAGGTCTCATGCTGGCTTTGCAGAGCTCATTAAATCCTTCCAAGACTGACAGAATCTCTTGAAGCAAGGCAATCATGTTTCTTCACTTTGATGTTGTTTTTGAAGATGTTTGTAGAAATGTTTATTTGTATTTGGATATCTATTATGTGCCCTTTTTCTTCTAGCATCAAGCTACAATAATAATAATAATAATAATATAATATAACAGAAAAAAAGAAGAAATATTATTTCAAGGAAAACTACTGTGGACCCAAACTACAAAGTAGGGCCCGAAGAAGGAACTCAGGAGAAAGAAAAGAAATCCAGAACTTAAATGGAATCCTGTTATGCAGCCAGTTAGAGAACACTTGCTAGGACCCATGTAGGGACTCTTGGTGACTTGAAATGGGTAGAATAGGTGCCCTGGCCAGAGCTCAAAGCCTATAGTTCTGTGAGATTCAACTTTAAAGGCCTTAGAGGTTCCTGGCTGGGGCTCTCGCTCTTCTCATCAAAATCATCACTCCCCCCTCAGCTTGGATGAAATATTCTTTTTAGCAAGAAGCTCTGTGATTGCCCAGAAGCCCAAGGAAATCCCTTAGGATGGAAGAGAATTAACTCATTTCCATCTGAGTGCAAGGGGAGGGGGGTGGGGAGGAACTACCACTCCCCCGCTATTTGCAAGAGGCCCTAAAGGGAATTCTTATCACAGGTCAAGAGATTTCCAGAAGCTTCTGGTTTCTGAGAAATCAGCAAGGGACCTTTTAGAACGTTACCACGTCCTTGATCGGGATGCTTCTCCTCCAGAAGAGAGACCACCGTGGCTCACAGTTCATTCTTCTCTACCCTCTGCTGTCACCTCGCTTTGGGCTTGGGGGCTGTCACTCCCGCTGCCTTTGTGTTAGCAATCTGGACCTAATGTGAACGGAACCTGAAGTCCCAGCAGACAAGCTTTAGTCAGAGAAGGAAGGAAATGAGGGCAAGCCACTCCCACGGTAGGGGAAGGGGTGGGGTGCTGCAGGCATCTGGAGAAAGGAAAGAACCTACCCAAGATGGTGAGCTGGGATCAAAGCTCAGGTGTCCTGACCTCAGGTGGCAGGGCTGTGTCACCACACATGTATCTCTGAATCACGTTCACCATTAGGCAAGTCATTTGAGGCCTTTCAACAGGCCTTGGATATATGCTCAGGATCAACATTGGGTCAAGATGATCTGAAACAAAGTTAGAAAACAATGGAGAATGGAAGGATGGATGGATTGATGGATAGGTAGATGATGATGATTATGAAGATAGATAAGATAGATAGATAGATAGATAGACAGATAAAATATATTACACTATACACTTCACAGATTCTTTCCATTATTATTCAAGTCCCAGAGTATGCAGAAGTAGATATTGAAGCCACAGTCTGTGTTCCTCTACCATCCCTTCTGAGAGCTGGTCAGGGAAGCCTACTATGGAAAGAAGGAATGAATCCTGGCTTAGACTATCCACGGTTCCATTTTTCTATCACCATTCCAGGGCAGAGGAAACTAGGAAGCAGAATTTCCAGCACGTAATCTCTGGGGAAATCCTTTGCAAAGGATAAATTTGTAGGAAGGCAAAAAAAAAATATTTTTGCAATCATCCACTCATTCTCCCCCCACTTTTCATTCAACTAGCATTTTTTAAGCACCAACCAGGTGCTAGGCTAGGAGGCAAGGGTGAAGTGGAGATAATAAGACTGCAATCCAGCCTCTGCCTGTCTCCCCTCGCAAAGCCTGTTGGGATGGTACTCTCCCTCAACCAGTGCTTCTGTGCGTGAAGGGGTCTAGACATAACTGGTCTCCCCAGCTGGTCTGGAATAGCTTCTTAGAAGGATAAAAACACAAAAACAAAACAAAACCCTGTCAAAAGACTTTGAGGCTCTTGGAGGAGGTATAACAATATCCCGCTTGACCTGGATTTCAAGGATAACCATATACGTGATGGATAGGGAAGAAGAAAAGCTAGCCTTGGAAATAGGTGGATCAGTCCCTTCTGGAAGCCCAAAGACATCCATCTCCGTGCTTGAACAGACCATAGAATCCCCAAGATCTCAGCCAGAGGTCACCCAGATTGCCTCTATATGAAGAAGGGGAACTGGCCTTACAGCTGGGGTCTGAGTCTTGAGTCTCGCTCTGTGCAGTTATCGCTGCCACTCAAGAGTTCTGCAGGCAGCAGAACCCCAGCGGGGCCTTTAGGGGTGACATCACCCCCCTTCCAAAGTGATGCCCTTTTCCTGCTTCCCTCCTCCAGCTGGACACAGCCTGCTTCTTCTACTCCATCTAAGCTAGGCTGAAATGTTCCAAAAGAATTTAAATTAGGAGTGAAGTGGGAAAAAAAGACAACAACGAAATAAGAAATTGAGACAGAAATAAGATAAGAAAATGCAAAGAAATCTCAACAAAGGCCTTGTTGGCTATGGCTAACTGTCTGCCAAGAAATGATCCAAGAATACTTCTTTTGCCTTCTTATTGACCCTGCCATCTGTTACCAAAGGCCAGGACCATCTTCACAGAGGACAAACAGGAGACCAGTGTTGTCCAGAATCTTCCTTGGGCGAATGCTGCTGTGCTCACTGGCTTTCCCAAATACCGACCCCAAAGACATTATCACAGTAGACAGGACCATTCTCTCCCAAGGTGTAGGGTGAAATTCAGTGACATTTTTCCAGATCTTCTCATAGGACAGGGTCTACAGAGATAAATCCTATTGAGACCGTGTGGGGCTGCCTGACACCCAAGCCATTGCCACCAGTGAGAAGGACTCTGAAATCCCACAACTTCTGCAGCAAGCCTTCAGGTAGAGATGACAGGTGGGACCAGTGATACCAGAGACCACCTAAATGATTCTTGGTCCCAGACATAACCCTGGGGCACCCGCACTTTCAAAACGCCTCATAAGTGCATTCACACTGGGCTTCTAACTAGACAATGACCAGTGGAGAAACCCTTAAGACTGATAGTAAAACATTCCATTATTTTAATTCAGAGTAAGGTCCCTGGCTTGGGGACAAAGCTGAGACCCAAGCTGTAAAATCAGTTCCCTCTCTCCATATTGATTGATTGACTCATTCATTGATTCATTCATTCATTCAACAAGGAGTTACAATCTGCTCTGTGCCAGGTTCTATTCTCGGCACTAGAAAAACAACGGTTAAGAAATGGACAGGGATTCTGCTCTCCTGGAGAGAAACAATTCATAAAGAATTTCCTAAAGCAGTAGGTGCAATGTAGCGCCACGTGCCTGATGGTTTGCGGTTGTCATTCCAGTAACTCAGGAAACTGAGATCCGAGGATCAAAACTCAAAGTCAGCCCAGGCAGAAAAACCCCTGAGACTCTTATCTCCAACAAACCAGTAAAATGCCACAATGCCACAATGGAGGATTGGCTTAAGTGGTAGAACAATCAGTCTTGAGTAAAAAGGCCAAGCAAGAGCACATGGCCCTGAGTTCAAGCCCCATTACACACACACACACACACACACACACACACACAGACCGACATATGACTTGTGGGATACAGAGAGGGATGCACAGTCCAGATTAAAGGAGTTTTTCCTGTGGATGTCTGGGTATGGGACTTCACACCGCACAGCCTGGGCAGAATCATCCACCATAAGCTTCATCAGCATCTTCAGCCTATTCCTCTCTGGCCCTGCTCAGCTTTGTCCCCCTCCAACCCACAGACACCCCAGTAGGAAATGGGGAAACTCCAGACAGATATTATGCCTGACAGAAAAGAAGCCTTTGTGAGCCCAACAATGAGAAATCCTTATCAAGCTGCTAGGGATTTAACCTATGTATGGGTTTATGAAACCCTATGATATTGGACAGACTGAGTCAGCTAGCCCTCACTGCCCCAACCCTCTCTCCTCTGCCCTAGCTCAGCCAGGCCTTCTGTCTGGTGCAAGTGAATCTCAGGCTCTACTCTTGATTGTTCTACAGTAGAACTGCCCTCAGCCAGAGGAGTTGGGATGAGCAAACGTAGCAGTGATGTGGTCAGGTACCAAAAAAAAAAATCACCAACCCACTGTGCAATCTTGGGCAAGTCTCTTTACCTAACAGTGCTTCAGCCTTTTCAAAGAGCCAATAAGGAAAAGAATTTCATCTATTACCTGCCCTCCAGGTAGATGAGGCATGGATGGGGGGAGAGGATGGGTTGACAAAGACCTTGGGGAGGTCAGGATATCACACAGAGCTGTTTGCCTTCCCTGGTGAAACTTGCCTTGAGTCATAGTTACTAAAGTTAATGGCTGCTAGTCCACACACTAAAAGAAAATAGAAATAAGGAAGAAGGGATGGAGGGAAGGAGGGAAGAAGAAAGGGGAAAAAGGAAGGAACGAATGAACAAACGAACGAACTAGGAGAATAGGACTATTTTTTAAGGCTTCCCTCGGAGACTTTAAGCTTTGGGTTTTGATTCTTGGAATGTGTTGACTAGCTACATCTTTGGGAGAACTTCTGGCTAGTTTGTGGCTGGGCTCATGAGCAGCCCTTCAAAGCCTAGTGAGTAAGAACATCAATGGCAGAGATGGTCCAACACTGCTCTGATTTCCCTGCCCTGCCATGCTGCCTTCTGAGAGCCAGATCTGTTCTGTTCAACAGTTCTCCCTTGGCAAAGAAGGAGGCCTCCGGGCCTCTAGGAGGAGCTATTGAGTGGTGGTTTTTTCCCCTTCTTTTTTCCCTCCAAGGACATTCTAGCTAATCAGCTACTTGTCTGAAATTAGCATCATAAGTAGTTAGCACTCCATCTCCAAGTCAAAACGTCACCAGGTGCCACCTTCTGGCCCTCCTTAAAGAAACTTGCTGAATTCTTTCCTTTTCCTTGAACATTCCCCCCATCAAGTTTTCCATCCCCGAATCCAACCGGTGATGTGAAAGGGAAGCTAGCTCATGCAGCTGTTGAAAGATGGTCAAGCAGAAGGCTCTTGCTGAATCTGCTCCTAAGATGATACCAGCCTTCCCATCACCGGCGTGGCTCAGTCCTCTCTTTCCCTCTTCTTATGCCGTGTTAATGTGTTTGCTTTCCATTTGGCAGAGAGACAGGCGAGACACCTCCAACTTCGACAAAGAGTTCACCAGGCAGCCTGTGGAGCTGACTCCCACTGATAAACTCTTCATCATGAACCTGGACCAAAATGAATTTGCTGGCTTTTCTTACACTAACCCAGAGTTTGTCATTAATGTGTAGGTGACTGCAAACTCCATTGCTGAGCCTGGGGGTGGGTGGGGGTTGGGGAAGACTGCAGGCCCGAGTATATGTCTCAATTCTAGTCTTCCAGGATTCATGGTGCACATGCTGGCATTTCAATACATGGAGAGCTTGTATTTAGAGGGCTTTTTCTTTGTACGTGTAGCTTGCTAGCTGTTTTCTACATTTGAAAAAAAAATGTTTAGTTTAGAATTAAGCGCATTATCTGATGATAGAGGTCCATTTCCCCCCCAGACTGCCAGAAACTCATCAAATGAGCAGACAATATCAAAAGTACTGTGTCTGATACCAAACTGCTTCAGTATTTGTAATTTTTCAAGTCAAGCTGATGTTCCTGGTCAAAGTTTTTACATTTATTCTCTAATACCTTCTTTGAATGCTAAACCAAGCATGATTGGTATTTTTAAAAGTTGTGAGTAAGCATTGCAGTTACTGTGAACTATTGTCTCTTGGAGGAACTTCTTTTTTTGTTTAAAATTGTTATGATTAAACTGAATTAATATATGCAAACTCTCTTGTTCCCATGTCTAGTTTTTTTTTGTTTGTTTGGTTTTGTTTTATGTCAATCCTGGGGCTTGAAC